TGAGTGTGGAATGGGTTATTTTTATTTGATCCTTTTCCCAACTAATATGTACTTCATACCTTTGGGTTTAAAAAGTAATGAGTTAAAGAGGACCTCTCTGAACAGAAGTTTTCCTTGTGCAAATAAGAAATATAATGGTTTGATAATACATTCAAACTATTTTTACAATTAGTGAAAGTTTTTTTTTTTTAATTTCACCTGAAGTAACTTTAAAAACTTTCTTTAACCCAGTTATTTGGGAACCCCCCCCCCTTTTTTTCCATTTGTCGGTTTCCATCTGAGTATTTTTGTGTTGCTTTTTCTAACAGATGAGTAATTGTGAATAGCTTTAAAGCAAATTTTATGTACCCAATGAGTAAAGTTTTTGTTTCTCCACTGCATACCTATTTACTGGATAGTTACTAGAAACAAGCCACTTAATGTAGATTTGTAGGTTAAAAAATAAGACATGGTCACTGCAGTCAAGCAGCTTTTGCTCTAGACATTGTTGGCTATATGCCTTAATATGAGAAACTGGGCATGGGCAGTATCTTGATCATAATGATCATTCTGCCATTGTTGATATGATGAAAGACTAAAGTTGAACTTCTTCCAATCCTTACAAATTTTAATTTTTAAATATCTACAAATATACCTTTTATGCTGTTTTTCTTCATTTCTAGAAATTGACTAATATATTTCAAATAAGAGCTAAAATTTACCATGAAAATGAAACCTTTCCTTACACCAAAACACCTATTTGATGATGTTGAGCTACAATAAAGGAATTAAGGTGGAAAAGGAATTTTATTTCATTCAAATATAAAATGTGTTGCATGCATTTAGAGTTTAATGGTGAAAATAAAGATTGACTTAATTGATTTGGGAAGATCTTTAACTTTTGAAGTTAGTTACAAAGCTGGAAAGAAAGTAGTCTTAGTGTGAACACACCGCCTGAAATTTCTAGCTATAATTCAGAAGGGTTATTCGGAGTGTAAGAATTTCAACATTTATCACTTTTGGTTTTATATAAATTAAATGAATTATCATGGCTAGAATAAAGAATTATTAGCCCTACTCAGTATCTATTTTTATTTATTTATTTTTAAAGATTTTATTTATTTGAGAGAGAGAGAGAGAGAGCACATGAGACGGGGGAGGGTCAGAGGGAGAAGCAGACTCCCTGCTGAGCAGGGAGCCCGATGCAGGACTCAATCCCAGGACCCCAGGATCATGACCTGAGCCGAAGGCAGTCGCTTAACCAACTGAGCCACCCAGGCACCCTATTTTTATTTATCTTTTGATACTGTTAGTAACTTTATTTATAATGGGGGGTGTCATTTTTACTAGTTCTCTCTATAGATAGTAGAGTATACTATCTTGAGCATTTTCCTATTATGTTTGCATATACAAACTGATGAGGGTGGGGAGAGTAGCAGGCAATTTCCAACTGCTCCTGTGAATTTGCAGTTGAGAGATTGTATTGCTAGGTCCTGGTTCTTTTGCTGAGTGACTCAGAATCACTTAAGAAAAATGTCCCCTTACTGGTCCTTGTTCTTTCCAGAAAGATGTAGGTCATATACAGTCTCCTGATGTCATTCCCGTGTGCACAAGGCCATATGTGTCCGTTATAAAATATGACTTCATACTTTGCCCCTGGGGAGAAAGAAAAATTATGCAAATATATAAAACTGAAATGCTCCTTTCCAATCTACAGTCAAGAGAGCATTTCATAGGGGCTAGAAAAAGAAAAAAGACTGTGAGGAGTTAAATTTGGGTTAAAACCTACGCATTAAAGGAAGTCAAGTTTGTAATTAGTTTCTTGCCTGAAATGGCACTAATTGTAAATTATAAAAAAAAAATCCTGTTTACTGTGATGTTACGTATTTTTACTTACATAGTGATAATTATCTTTAAAAATGTAAGAAACTGAAAGAGACAACAGACCGAATATAGCTATATAGCTAAAAAAAAAGTTTTGCTTGGACTCTAAGAATGAAACGGTATCATTTTGGCATACATTAGGTAGTGAGAAAGGAAGGGCTAAAATACTAATGGTCAATCCTAATCAAAACTTAATATTTGCGGGCGCCTGGGTGGCTCAGTCGGTTGAGCGACTGCCTTCAGCTCAGGTCATGATCCTGGAGTCTCGGGATCGAGTCCCGCATCAGGCTCCCTGCTCGGCGGGGAGTCTGCTTCTCCCTCTGACCCTCCCCCCTCTCATGTGCTCTCTCTCTCTCATTCTCTCTGTCAAATAATAAATAAAAATCTTTAAAAAAAAAAACTTAATATTTGCTGCCTTTTCTTTTAGTCTTCTCATTCGCAAATCTCTTTCCCCACCTTCTTTGTAAACAGTTTGAAATCTCCTCTTTGAACATCTGAACACGAAGATACCTTTTCTTTGCAGATTTCCAAAAAGGGCAGTGGTGGCAGGTATTTGAAAACTTTAACCATAAACTTGCATTTGTTACTGATGTCTTAATGTCCCAAAGTTGCTATAAGTAGTTAAAAGAAAGCACAAGAAAAATCATGAGCCGGGAGAAACACCTTTTTTTAACCCGTAGAACATTAATATGCCATTTTCATTTTTCTCTACTGAAAACTGTAGTGAAATAAAAATGTCTTTCCTGCAGTCAAATCTTACCTTGAGGTTAGATGCCATCTATCTGTAACTCAGGTATTCAAAAACAATATAATTCTTAGCAACAGAAAAAACAAAACCAAGGCTCTGAAGGACTGTCTCATTCTTTATAATTATTTTATGCTTAATCATAGTCTTTGAATTTATAGTCCTCTCAGTTTTTCTGCTTTTTCCATTAAAGATGAGTTTTTGACATTATTGGTGCCCAAAAAAGCCAAAGCAAGAGCATAATGAAGTGAAAGAGATAACTACTAACAGTGACCGCATATTTGCTTAAGTTCTTCACAATTGACACGGTATCGTGAAACTCTTAAGTGGAGAAATGGAAGTCCAGATTCAAAGGCTAAATAAGTTTCTTAATACTAATACTGCTTGACCAACTGAAGGTTTGCTGTAGAGAGATCTGGTCTTTATTTTGAGGGGTGAATTGTAATGATTAAACAGTATAAACCGTGTATTTCACCTCTCATAGCAAAGCTAGTTTAGGTTAATAAATCCTTTCCATTCAGAAACAACTGTTGCAAGTATGTAAATTCTAGATAATGAAACAGTGGCCTTGAATCCTGTAGTCTATCAGAAGCCCCCACATCGTACTGGAGTTACTTAATTTCATAGTACAAGATATATCTCACATAGTTTTGTTCTGTAAAGGCAGCAAATCGAATGTCTATTTTGGAGGGTATTCTTTTTCTTTTAACTTTCAGATGTCAGAGGATAGTACTTGGATTTTACATAGATATATTTTATTTCTTCAGGATGCAAGCTCTGATTTCGGATTTAGTCAGAAAAGAGATACACATAAATCTATATGACCAGAAGAGATAAGTAGATCATAAAAAGTCCACACACATCATAACCCTGCACATCTAACACAGATAAGGACAGTTACAGATTATTACGGCATGGGTAGCTTGATAATCTATGGTGAATCTATGATAAATTTCAAACTATAACAAATACAATGACTCATATTTTTTTAAAGAAACAAACCACGGAGGCATAAATTTACCCTGAGATTTGTGTCACTAAGAAACTGAATAGTTCAAAGTCAAACATTATGTGACATGCTTTAGATTGCTCTTATGAAAGGCACTATAGAAATGTCACCCTATTATAACCTACTGTATTTAAGAATTAACTGCTGCAGAACAGCCAGGGGAGATGAATATATACTGATGTGATCATCCCCATCTATTACTCGCCAGCAGTTAATACAAAGCACACTTTAGAAAAGAGTCTATAAGACAAAGAAATAAACACATTGTTAAAAGGGGTGCATTTAATATCAGGATTTCTTTTTATTAATTCTAACAGACCCTTAGACTATAGTATTTTCTCTTTAATAATAGGAGTCTTTCATGTAAATGATGCAATCAGTATGCCACAAGCGGGTTCTTTCTTTAGTGGGAGGAGTTAGCAGCTCCAACATTCAATTGACCTGTTTCCAAATAATCTACAGGAAAAAAATGAAGATTAAGTCCTCTAACAAGAGCAGTTTTCACAGCCTTGCGTACAAAGAGAAGGATTCGGTAAAAAGATGAGAGGGCAAGCCGCATTGTGCTGGCCCACTTAAATCTTATTTCCAATTCACTAAATGTGTTATTTGACTTGGCAAGTGAGCTAGTATGTGTATTAGATCAGCAGGGAGCCTAATCAAGGAGATGCCAAGTTTACTGCAGCCCCTCTGAGCTGCATTAGCCTCAACTAGTGACCTTAAGCAAAGTGGGTGGTTGAACCCAAAAGAGAATAGCATTAACTTTTGCTTGAAGTTCAGCCTGATTTGAAGTCTCCTTTTGTGCCTTATCCCCCCCCAAAAGAAAGAAAGAAAGAAAGAAAGAAAGAAAGAAAGAAAGAAAGAAAGAAAGAAAGAAAGAAAGAAAGAAAGAAAAAGCAAAAAGCATTTAACAGAATTGAATCTAGTCAGCTCAGCACCATCTTCACACGCAAGGCTTCATAGAAGCTTGCCTCCATTAATGCTGACACATGCAAAAGAAATGAAAAGCATTAACTCAGCTAAGGCACTTGATTTTGCAGCTGCAGAACAATTCACTTTGTAACTCAGTAACTCAGATGGGGCTTTTCCACCCAGATAAACTGCTAATTTGTTAATTGATACAAAAAGTATTTTCAAATATTAAATAAACTGCAAATAAAGCAAAAAAAGGAACAGAAATTACAAGGATGCATGAAAGATACATAGCTTAGTTTGAACATTTCTAACAAGTGAAGTATTGATAGACCTCTCTCCAAAAATAGCTTTAACCATGTATTCAGCATTCCTACTAGGCATTCTGTTTCACAGAATAGATCGCATGTGTGAGTGAACTCTTCAATTATATTTTGCACCAAGTAAATCACAAACCTTTGTAGTTCAGGAAGTTGTTACATAACTAATGCAGACTATAGATTTAGCTATAAAAACAGATTTGTTCTCAATTTGTTTTCCCCATTTTAAATTCAGCTATCTTGTTTACAAAGGCAAAGATTTCTATACTCTGCTTTTTTTTTAAAGATTTTATTTATTTATTTGAGAGAGAGAGAGAGCGCACATGAGAGGGGGGGAGGGTAAGAGGAAGAAGCAGACTCCCTGCCGAGCAGGGAGCCTGATGCAGGACTCAATCCCAGGACCCCAGGATCATGACCTGAGCCGAAGGCAGTCGCTTAACCAACTGAGCCACCCAGGTGCCCTATACTCTGCTTTTTATACTCTGCTTAAAAACATTTGGGATTCAACTTTCAGTTCCAGGATGATGGGCTCACAAATACTCATACAGGAAAAATATGTTGGATATGTGGAACGTATAGGTATCAAAGTTCAAAACCACGAATATTTTACAGGATGTTCTGTGAGGCCATTGGCCTAAACTTTTTTCCCCACACAAAATGTAAGCTGAGGTTCTTTTTTATTCCATCCTTGATGTTCACCGTTGGCTTGACTTCCCTCTTCAAATCTGTCTGAAACATGAAGCAGAGCAAAGCATCATCACCTTCTGGTAGCTGTGGAAATTACAATCAAAATCAACAAAGCAAAGCACCCTTCACACAGATTCATCTCCTTGGTGTTTAAATGATGAGATGAGTCTACAAAACTCAGATTCAGCATCGAACTAGATGGTCCAGGTCACAGAGAGATTCTACTGAGGCAGGTTTTTTTTTTTTTTTTTTTTTAAGATTTTATTTATTTATTTGACAGCGAGAGACACAGTGAAAGAGGAGCACAGGCAGGGGGAGTGGAGGGGGGGAGAGGCAGGCTTCCCGCCGAGCGGGGAGCCCGATGCCGGGGAGCCCGATGCCGGGGAGCCCGATGCAGGGCTCGATCCCAGAACGCTGGGATCATGACCTGAGCTGAAGGCAGGCGCTTAACGACTGAGCCACCCAGGCGCCCCTCTACTGAGGCAGTTTTAAAAAGACCATAAAACCACCGTATCAGTTTATGCTTCCAGATAGGATAAATTGCCTTTGTATCACATATATTTAGAGAAAGTGGCTTAAAATAATTTGGTGTTTGGAAATAGGATGCTTAAGTAATTGCCATTGACACTGCCTTTTTAAACTCTGGGATTTCAAAACATTTTCTAAACATTAATGCAATGGGACCCCTGTGAGGCTGATATTATCATACCTATTTTCCAGGACAATAAGCAGGGAACACAGGGCCCATTTCTTGCCTTGCCCCATGCGCTTCAGAGCTTGCCCAAGCTCAGCGTTCCCTTAAAAACCATTGGATCAGCTCCATGGGAGCACAGAGGAAAATGAGAAATGGGCTCTTGGACATTTAAGGGATTTTCATAAGGTCGTGTGTGCAAGTGAGCTGTAGCTGAAAGTCAAAGCCAAAATTCTAAGACCCCTTATTCAGTGGTTATATATATTTCTTCACCAATATAATACATGGAGAATATCAGGCTTGCAGGAATATGCTGGTAAGAAATGGAATCGGTTGCACATTTTTTTAGTAACTTAATTAACAAATGTCCCCCCTTCTGATTTGAGTAAAAATGACTAGATCTTCACAGGCAGCGTGTATAGGAGACCAGCAAGGACCAAGAGTGAATTTCAGCCTCGACTTTCAGAAATTGTGAAAGAGGTGCCAGTAGCCTAATTTGAGGCAGAGACTAGATTTTGCCCCTCTATCAGGTTGTGGTATAAAGAAGAGGCATATTCAGAAGGTGGAATGAGGGGTTAAAAGTCACACCAAACATGCTGCAAAGGCCTGTGGGCATCTCAACCTTTTTTTCTTTAATTGGGAGAAGAAGAGCTTTTGACTAAAGACTAAGTTCTACAATGTAGGCCGGTAGCCCAACTGGGAAATACTCTTGATTTGAACAGTTTGCAGCAGTTCTATTCTGAACTCTTTATATAGATTCTCTTTCAATACTGGGACACCTATTTTAAGGCAAAAGGGGTATTTTACTAATTTCTTTAATAAGCTTTGACTGCAAGCAATACTTGGAGTTGGTAATCATCAGCTGGTTCCTTTCCCCTTACGCACTGCAGGAATGAGGACAGTTTCACAGCTGGTTGTCAGCACAGGTCTTATCACTAACACCAATTATTGATTTTTAAAAGGCCTACACTATTAGTACCCTGCGACATCTCTTCATACGCAATATGTGTTTTAAAAATTCCTTTTTAAAAAACATAAAATCTAAGTCTAACCTTTCTATCATCAGTGTGCTTGCTCTTAACATTTTATCTTAAATCTTCACAGGAAAGCAAACCAGGAATCTTTTTCTTTTTCTTTTTTTTCCCCCTGGTCTAATTTAGAAGCAGAGATGCTTGCCCATATGATCTCTCTGGCAGGTATCACATTAGGAAAAAGCAAATGGTGGGCAGTGAAGAGAGAATAAAAGAACACAATTAGAAATTTTAGGATCTTCTATGCCCTTTTCTTTGCCTTTATTTCATGCTATCCCAATCCGTGCTAAAGCCACTCATAAAAACCCACCTGGCTTCATTCTCCCTAGGATACCTGCTTTTGCATAGGTCTTCAACTCAAATTGTTACTTTTCTCTTCCTTTATAAGTTCCCAATGGTTCATTCTAGGAATTCTTTCAAAATAAACTACACACATTTTAGTCACTCTATTCATCTTGTCCTCAAATAATTAGTTCTGGCCATATTCTTCTTCAGCAGTAGTTTAGAGAAATCTGACTCTGCTAGGGTTCCCCTAACAAAGTACCGCAGACTGAATGAGGAAACAACAGAAATGTACTGTCTTGCTGTTCTGGGGGTTAGAAGTCTGAGATCAAAGGGTCAGCAAGCTTGGTTATTTCTAAGGGCTAGTGGGGAGAATCTGTTCCATGCCTCTCTTCAGCTTCTGGCAGTTTTCTGGCAATTTTTGGCGTTCCTGAGCTTACAGACACATCTCCCAGATGTAACTTCATATGTACATAGTGTTCTCCCTGTGTGTGTGTGTGTGTGTGTATTCAACTTCCCTGCTTTTATTTTTTTTTAAAGATTTTATTTATTTATCTGAGACAGAGAGAATGAGAGAGACAGAGAGCACATGAGAGGGGGGAAGGTCAGAGGGAGAAGCAGGCTCCCTGCCGAGCAGGGAGCCCGATGCGGGACTCGATTCTGGGACTCCAGGATCATGACCTGAGCTGAAGGCAGTCGCCCAACCAACTGAGCCACCTTGGCGCCCAACTTCCCTCCTTTTATAAGGACACGGTCATTGGATTAGGGCCCACTCCAATGATCTCATCTTTACTATATCATCTGCCAAGACCCTACTTTTAAATAGGGTCACATCCACGGGTACTGGAGGTTAGAACTTAAACATTTTGGAGGGCATACATCTCAAATCAAAATAATAGTTTTTGTTAAATGTCTTTACATGTGTCACTACTACAAAATCCCAATGCCTCAGCAAAGGCAAAAAATAATACATTAATTACTATGTGGGTGGTTTATAGATATTGATAAATAGAAAAACAAATTTCATGAGGATGCAAGAAATTTGTAAGTAAAAAAATCAAGGTAATCCATTTTAATACGTATAGAATCAATATCTGAAATATGTACCCACATTCTGATATTTTTCAGTAGCAAATTCAGTATAAAAAACTGAACCTACATTTTCTGGAGCAACTAATACACACATTACTGCTGTTGGGCATTAGAATTCTAAAGATAAATGAGAAATGTTTATCTCCAGATAAGTTAGGAAGAGTGAAGTATAAGCAGATCATTGAAATTTGGAGGGCATCACCAAAGAAAGCCATAGAAGTGGGGGGAAGAAAAGGCAGGAGTCAACTCAGCCTGAGTAGCCTCATAGTTGGGAGGAAGTCTCTCGAAAGAAGTGAGCGTATCTCTTTATAAAAGAACAGATCTGGACAGACTTACCTAAAAAGAAGGCTGCCTTACCTAAAAGGGAGGCCCACACTTCATATATATAAATATTTAAAATGATCAATTAACAAACTACTATGTTTTAATGTTCTACCTTGCCAAGCATAACTTTTGAGCAACAAAATATAAAAAAATATGATTGTGAGTTTTTTATATGGAATAGGAAAAATAGGAAACATGATAGAATTTCATTATTGCCAGTGTTTAGGTCTGCTATTGAACTGGTGATGTTTGAACAAAAATTAAGAAACTTAAATAATTCAGAAATACATATGTATGTATTTTGTACATTTTTTTCACTTTCATTTTTTCACTGAGATTTTTAGAGGTTGTGAAAAAATTTGCTCTTAAGAACTTAACTTTTTTAGTGTATCTTCAGACATTATTAAAATGAAATCTAGTTACTTAAGAGCATTTAGCCTACATTATCATCATCTGTGCCAGAATACGAGGTCAAATCTGATGTTTATTTTCTCATAAAATATACATAATCATCTGGGTAAGTGACATATAAGAAGGTAAATATAAACTTACTTAGAACAAGAAAAATATTAGTCTTTTATTTTTCTGTCTCCTCACTTCAGAGTAGTAATTTTAGTGACATTTTCTGGAAATTCTAAAAGCAATAGAAACAAATGAAAATGAAAAAATAAACAACATGCACATTTTATAAGACTTTTGAAAACATCGGCAATCACAATAGCTGTAAACCTGACAACATCAAACCTCCAAAACATCTGGATATAGGATTTTTTTTCCTTTTTTTTTTTTTTTTTTGCCTGCAGTTTTGGCTTAGTGCAGACACAAATTGCAAAGAATTAATAAAGTTTCCTTGATTTGCAATTTTTTTTCCTCCATAATTTTCCAGGAAAATGCACCCAGGCTTGGTGGTCTGATCCTTTGAAATCTCTAAAGGAGCTTAGATATAAGTAAACATCAATGTGAAATCATAAATACAAAACTGATTGTTACTTCCAACTGCACAGACTCAATGTTAATGCCCACCCACAAAGGCAAATCCTTGGCTCAATTCTCCAACACTGTACTAAAATATCAACCTGTGACGATTTGCTATAGATACAACAATCGTTTTCATGTTAAGAGGAAATTAGTCTTTACCATCAGGAGTTGGGGGCATCATATCTTCATTTTGCTGGTGAGCCAATAATGAACTACAGAGCACGTGGCAAATATTATAGCTTCTGCATCTTCTGCTTAGTTATATAGCTTACTTGAGCATATTACATGAATTAATCCTAATTTTATCACTTAATCACAGTAGATCCTGTGATTCTGAAATTCCTGTAGTTCAATAACATCCTGCAGCTGGAACTTCAATGCCACCCCCCTGCTCACTCCAGAAGCTAGCCAGGAAACATAGGCTCCGGGGACCTGAGTGGAACTTACTAGACTATAACTTTCACAAAAGGAGTTATAACATCCAAGATTATTACCGCAAGAATGCTATTGTTTAAATAATGAGTGTGTTGACCATTTAAGTTGACAGTCTTGGTCATAATTTATTAGAGGCAAATTAGCATAGTTAAGGTCACCAAAAGGAAACTATTAAAACATAAATGTTTTCATTTCTTCTGATCTCGTGCTTTTCCTACAGCACTATATATCACTTTAGTACTTCTTAATTAAGAATGAGGGCTTCTTCCAACTCTAGATCTATGGTGCAAGCATTCCCCTGTCTGTTTATTTTGATTTACAAAATAGGATATAAAGCTGGATTGTATCATCTTAAAATCAAATCAACACCAACATGTAGCTTTTAGTGGTTTATAAAAATGATTTCACTACATGCAATAAAAATGTATCTGGGAAAATTTCTCTTTTCAAAAATTGAATCTTTCTCAATCTCTTTCTCTGTCTCCCCCCTTTTTAAATTTATCTCTCTCTTCCCCTCTTTCTCTTTCCTTCTCTTTTTTAAAATATTGTATTTATTTATTTGAGAGAGAGAGAATGAGAGAGAAAGCATGAGAGAGGGGAGGGTCAGAGGGAGAAGCAGACTCCCTGCTGAGCAGGGAGCCTGATGCGGGACTCAGTCCAAGGACTCCAGGATCATGACCTGAGCCGAAGGCAGTCGGTTAACCAACTGAGCCATCCAGACGCCCTTTCTCTTTCCTTCTAAATTAAGATTATATTATTTTAGAAAGTTTCATCATCTAAGTACACCTAACATAGTAAATTAGGATATAGTTTTTATGTTTTGTTAAAATGCGTAGAGCATAGATTGAAAAAAACCTAAGATGCCTATCCCTTTTGTCAAATTAGAAGCTGCAAATAGATAAAATAATAATGACGTGGGCGCCTGGGTGGCTCAGATGGTTAAGCGTCTGCCTTCGGCTCAGGTCATGATCCCAGGGTCCTGGGATCGAGCCCCGCATCGGGCTCCCTGCTAGGCAGGGAGCCTGCTTCTCCCTCTGCCTCTGCCTCTCTCTCTCTCTCTCTCTGACTCTCATGAATAAAAAACATTTAAAAAAAATGATTAAAAAAATAATGACGTAACATTTCATTTTTTAGTTGAAATTTTTGAGATAATTATAGATGCACATAAAATTTTCCAAAATTTTCCCAAATTAATCCCAGATTTTTCCCACATTAAAAGAAATAGTTGAGAGACCCTGTGTATGCGTTACCTACTTCCTGCCAATGGTAAACCATAGTAGTATATCAAATCAGGATATTAATGTTGATAGAACTCAATAGTCTTATCCGGCTTTACCCAGTTTTACTTGTACCCATTTGTGTATAGTGTATTTAGTTGTATATGCTTTTACCACCGTAACAGTTAATTTGAACATGTCAATATTTTCTTCTATTTTAAACACCTATGCCTAACACATGCATATGGGTTAGATTACATATAGCTAATCCTAAAACATATAAAAATACTTACTGAAAAATAGATTTTCTTTTAGAATTCTAACCAATGTGCATTTCACATTTTTAGAGCTGGCTCAATATTACTACCAAATAGTTTGAAAAGATTGACTATTGTTGCCCAAAATGAAGAAGACAGTTAAAAATGAGTATAGATGACTTTTTTTTTCTTATAAAAGCACATTATGAAATCAGAGATTCAAAGAGGTTAAGAAATAGGAATGAATTTTCAGTGTTTGGGGCATCAGCTCATTAAGAGTAATAGAGCAGGCTTCCAGTCTGAAAAAGGCACTGACTCAAATGTGTAATGATTTCACTTTCAAATTTCTTTTATCTCAGCTGCTTCTACTTCAACAAATACAAGCGCTTCAGATATAATAAGACTAATGAGCATTGCAGATGATTACAAAAATATAATACTTCCCAAGGCATAATGATATCTTTTTTCCCAAATTAAAAAAAAAAAAAGGAAGTTTCCCTTGTTAGAGTCTTCATTGCCTGAAAACGACCTCAGTTAAAACTAAAAACTCAAGTTTTTGAACACATCTATGAAGAAAGTGTTTTGTGAGCAGAACTCTTGAGCTTGTAAGGGAAGTTTTATTAACTTTAGCAAAGACTATGTAGGTGCTATAGGATTAAATCCTTAAAATAAAATGTGCCAAAATGGGGCATTTGAAATCACTGCCTCATTGCAGCTTGGAGTTGGCATTTTGCTGATCAGCTCACCGTGTACTCTTGGGTACTTTTCTCTATAAAGTCGTTACAAGTCCAGCCTTCCGATGTTATAGTTGGATGCACCGTATAAAAGGGCCATTTTCTAATAAGTACCTTACTTGTTTCAGAGCCAGAGTGCAGAAGCTCCTTCCCATCAGTCACAGTTTTGAAACAACAAGGGGGGCAATGTTTCAGTTTGTTCGAAGTAGACATTGTGCTTTTAACATAGACATGGTAACAGAAATCAGGAAAGAATTTACAACCAATGTCATGCAATATAATTTAAAAAACAACAAAAAAAATTGCCTAATCTGACCCACAAAATAAGACATCTGCAAACCGCTGTAGCAAATTGTGTCATGAACAGCATCTCCAGGGTCTTGTCATGTAATTCAGAGCTGTTTCTGGCTCTCTTTCATTTTGTTTGAAGACAGATTGTTTTACAAGGTACATCAGCCTTCAGGGAACAGTAATTTCCTCCCCCCAGCCCCCACAACCCTGTGCCCAACAACACAAATGTAACTTTTTAAACTGTTTATCTTTGATCAAAAATATATTACTTAGCACACTAAGTAAACTGCCTAACAATTTGTCATAGAAATTACTGCTTCCTGTGATTATTTTTAGTGTTTTTTTAAAACATTTGCTTGGCAATTGGTAATGAGACCTGATAACCCTGCCATTTGTTTTTTATTTTTGTAATGATCTCAGAAAAACGTTTTGAAATATGAACTGCTCTTTAATGGATAAACTACTATGCTGCCAGGAATTATACCCAACTTCCTCCCCCAATAGTCATGGGAACTCAAGCAACAACCACAACCCACACACATAATGCAGGAAGTGATAAGGAACACATATATTACATTTCTGTGGTGATGTGTTTACCAAGAAGGGCCATTTAAGCATCACTGAAGCTACAGAAATGCTAAATCAGTAAGATTCAGAATATGGAAATGCTGATAGAAGAATATGCCCAATTGTAAAGTATTTTGCTTTTTTGATACAGTCTGATAGCCACCTATTAAATAATGAATGTTATTTAAAGTAATACATTTAAATATGAAAAGGAAAACAGTTTAAATAGAAAACTAGTCCATTTTGTTCTTTGCTGCTATGCAAAACCATTTTAAGCCCTATATTTTGATATATATACTTCTGATATATATACTTTATCTATTTATACTTTAATCAATCTTGACTACAGCTTTGTTTTTATCTTAATTTTTGTTTGATATGGATATTATAATCTATTTGGTAAAACAGTCTTCAGAACTCTATTATTTATGGTTCTTATTTATTTTAAAGATGTTATTTATTTATTTATTTATTTATTTATTTATTTATTTATTTGAGTGACCAAGAGTGAGAGCACAAGCAGGGGGAGGAGCAGAGGGAGAGGGAGAAGCAGGATCCCAGGATCATGACTTGAGCCTAAGGCAGATGCTTAACCTACTGAGCCACCCAGGTGCCCCTATGGTTCCTACTTTTGAATCAACATTAGAGCAGTTAGGTCTTTCTACATATTACCTGTCTGTTCCTCAATTGTTTATGGAGAATATATTTTCTTTCTTTTTTTTTTTTTAACTATTGTTTTGGAGATACATTGCATTTCATGTTTGGAATAGTCCTAAAAAAGTTGGGGTTATCAGTTTCATTTTCCCCCTATATCAGATATGCATCTAGAACACACAGAACAAGTTCTCACTCGTTCAGTGATACAGACTATATGATGGATAATTTTAATTTATCTTCAAATATTGTCTTTATAATAATAAATATATGTAATATAATTTGTATTCTATGTTCAAGAATCTTATTTGATTTCTTAAAAGAATAAGAGTAATTTTATTGTTGGTGGAAAAAATAGTTTTATTTCTTGTCTTCTGATATCAGTCTTACCAGTCTGATAGTTTTGAAAAAGACAACATAACATTTCATGCTCCATGCTGTGCTTTCCAAATCCTGTGCCCCATAAAAAAACTATGGAATCCAAAGAGAAAAGAAATGGAAACTAAACAATGTCTCAGATGTATTCAAGATTCTGTCAAGTCCCTTCTGATGTGGGGGTGACTTTTGAAGGTTTAAAATGAGAATGTTGAGCCATCTCTCTACCTTTCCTTTGTTTCTCTACCATCTCTTAAGTTGAGAGTCAGAAGTACTGTGTTAATGAAGTTATGAACCAAGCTAAGAATCCCCCAGAGTTTTCCTGAACTGTTAAGTATTGAGATAGTTTAAAACTGTGACCAGAACTCTTTTTTAAATACTTTATTATTAAATATGCAACATTGGATATATATATATACACACTCAGTTTCTCTGTGTACTACATATAGGTGTGTGCAAAGCAGTTATATATTCCTGACTGCCTAACTCCGTAAAGAATTGTGAAATTACCTGCAACAATTCTCAAGGTCTGTTTCTTGATGGAAAGAGGGTGCACATGTAAAATCTTACCTTTTTCCTTCCACAAACTGTCACAGACACAAGCCCCTTCTTTTATGGTTCCTCCTTGAACCCAGAACACATGGGTAGTTAATGCAACAAGATAAAAAATCAGTTGTTGTGTGTCATAAAGATGTGAAACATGGCTTTTAAACACCCCCAGAAAACATAAATTTGGAA